TCATTGGGTTGGCCTTTTGAATGCTGCCAGCCCGCTCCAAGATTGCCTGTACGTCGGACGGGGAAGAAAGAGTAACTAGAAGTCCAAGGGTTCGCTTACTTCCCTTTTGGCGTAGCCATTCTGCGTGGAGCGATTGATCAGGCTTGCTGAGGATCGACTGTGCCAGCTTTGCTGGCGTGATTTTTCCGGAGAATGACCCCCAGATTATTAGTCTGATTTCCATTAGGTGTCTGTCCACTAGAGACGCTGTGGCGGTTTTTATAGCTGCGTCAGAAAGTTGTATGACTTTCTTCTCAGCCATGGGACCCGGTATGGACATCGCGAGGTATTGGTTCAGCGAGGAAAGTTCCTTGTCGACTTTCGCCCAGGTCGCTGCATTCTTAGCGCCTGAGTCCTCCAGTGCCTTCGAAAGACGCTCTATTTTCGCGTCGAGTATCCCGATTAAAGCGGAACACTGGCAGTGGTCTTTCGGCATCTGCACTGGGGATTGGGTACCGTTTCGGGGGACTCTTCTCTTCGCTGCGGTATGCATTGCACCCTTGACATAGAGGCAGCTGGCACAGACAAACGGGTCAGGAGAGTTGGCTAGTCGGCTTATTTGGTCGTCCTGTAAACCCGTGCATTTGAAATGCCACCAGGCCTTGCAGGCGTGGCATTGCATACCGCGTTTGACGTTCGACGGGCAGCCATTCCGCCCACATCTATTGTGGTCTACCAATGGCTGCGGAGGGCGATCGGTATAGATTGACGTCATGTTTCGGACTAGATGTAAAATAGGTGTGCGCAAAATATGAAGGGTTATCACTCAAATGTTTTGTTAGAGTAATAAAATTCAACAATTACTCGTGTGTACTCTGAGAATAAATTGAACAACGAAAAAAATTTTCACGAATTTGCACGAGGGAAAAACGAAACCGATTTCGAACGTACCGCCGCCTTTGCTGCACTGATCGGTTGCCTACGCGTCCACTCGGAAGCCGGCTTTTCTGTCCTACATTCTTTACGACTTCTCTACTGCAATCTTGGTGGGGTTTGAGGGTCCCAGTGGGTTTAGGGTATTTCCGTTGCAGATGAACCTGGCATGTTTCTGCAGGATGAGAACTCCATTAACTGCAAACTGAATGCGTCTATGATAATAAAGATCAGGAAAGAGAGTAACTTGTGCAACAACTCTTTCAATGTTCTTCTAGGACCATAGTCAAGCCCATATACCTCGAGGAGAGCACCATTAGAAGCCCGAACTTTGCATCGTAATAGTGGAATGAGTTCCCATTCCGTTTGTGTAAAGCCAAACCTACTTTCCTCCAGCTTAAGCCTCTGATGCTGATGTGAATTTAACCATTCCACGAGAAGGAGAGACTCTAACAGCGTACCGGTCTACTATTTCTAACCCTGGTGACTGAGCTGAAGACAAGAATTTTTATCTTTGACCGCCGATGGTACCTGTACCAAAGGAATATCGGATTGGTAATGTTGAAATGAGGGGCGTGGTTTTTGGCACCAAGTCAGCTGCTTGTCTAATGGATGAATGGACTCCACCACACAAACTTCGCCGACTCGCTTATTGCTCCTTGTGCCAGATGATCGATTACATCACCATTACCTGTTCGCTAAAACATACTCCCACAGGGATGTGCCAGTAGATGGGTAATGCTTAGCCCAGATGGGAAGCATGAAATACATAATGAAAAGTCGTAACTTCACTGGAAAGTGAGGCTTGTGGATTTTTGTGCCATTATTTTGCTTCAATTATAACACTACGTATGTCGTCAATTGCATGATCATTTTTTGTTTGAATACGAAAAACTACGAAAACGCGCACTTCCACAAAAAATTCACGCAATACAAACGTGGTCACGTTTTTCGACTCTCTCTTCTGATTTCGCTGGCGCTTGCAGCGGTCGTTCGCGAGTCCGAGGTGCTAACTCTGGTATCAAAACATTTCAGACTATCTTCCGAATCTAAAAGTGGGAACTGTTCAGAAGAAACCCTTGGAGCTCCATGATTGGATTATTGTTTTTCGCTGACCTGGACCAAAGGCGAATTATTTTAAAGAGAGCACTTCTTAGTGAGTCTGTTCCATCTGAACTCTTTATTATCATATACTCAGGCTGGGGTTGTTATATTTAGTCCTTTGCCAGACCACTACAGAATCATATAATCATCACGTTAATATTGGCCACCTGAACCTCATACACGGTACACACCTGAACCACATACACGGTTGTGGACCGTCAAACCTAACTGTCCGATGATTTTTATGTAAGGCATGACCCTTATATGCCGCATATGAGGTAGACACGGATACATTTGCACAGGCGACATGACTGTGTAACCAAGATCACATTTTACCCGACTGATTAAAACAAATAGTCTGACTGTGTCATCCTGTCTGTAGATAGCTGCCGCGCAACCCAGAAGCGCAAGAGCCGAAATGCTGTCATGCTGTTGAAGTATAGACAGAGGTAACCGAAAGCTAGCGTTAGGTCCGAACGACGGCACTTTTGGTAAGTAGCTTTACCCCCAATTCCCGAGTTCTGTGCAGCTCATCTGGTCTACTTCCAGTTCTCCAACTGCTAACACGGTCGGTCCACTTCCCTTATGAGAACTTGAAAATTTGATTGTTGCTGCCCAAAATCAGTGAAAGTAGAGTTATGTTTCATACAGTCCACTTGGAATTTTCCAATTGAATTCAGTTGACGAGTCTGTTTATTGAGTTAGTGGTCTCTACGTGCATTTACTCCGCACCGAGGTAATCATTGTAGCATCTTACCTTTTAATGGTATGGGTTGGCTTTTTGAGGTGGGCTACATTATTCAAATAGCTTTTGGTCTGGCAGTTTCCATCAGAGTAGGATAGTAGACAAAGTTTTCTTTATTCTTCCGAAGTCTCGAGTGCATACACACAAATAAACACCTTTTCCATTGGGCTAATTTTGAAACCATGCTTGAGAGCTCCCCTAACGATGTTGAAAAGACTGCCTGGCCAGTTACGGAACTGTGAAGTTTCTGCAGGCACAAGTTCTTGCATAGAAGTAGGCCAGTGCGCCTCAACGGGCATTTGAAAAATAGTTTTGCTGTCCAAAGTAGATTAAATTGTGAAGGATCATATCGGTATCTGTGCTAGCTATAATGTTCGTCTAGTAGTATCTATGTAGAGAATCTGTGTTGATTGTTCAACATCCAAAATTGCGTTCAGCGTCCTGATTTGTTCATTAGTATGCTGTTCAGTTTAGCAAGTCCTCCACATTCGACAGAATATTCCTCCGAAACAGCATTTTACAGCAACACTTTTTCGAGAACAAGCAAATTCTCCATTCATTCTCACGGTATTGGATGGGAGATAGCGCGGTTGGTGGAGCGCAAATTCACTGATCGGAATGACCGTGGTTCAAATCCGACCTCCACCTTTCGACTTCTCCTGTCCATGCCTCAGCAACTCGGCAGTATCCCAGCCTTCGTGCTCCTTTCGGGTGATTTGGAAGCTGTACACCGAAAATGTGCTACAGCTGAACGACGTTTTCACGGCATCTTTATTATTGCCAAAGAGCTCTGATTCAGAGGCCTCAACCATAACAAATTTATTCGAAACATAAAGTCGACGTGAAATTTCTTTCAACACGTCGTAAAAGCCACCTGATCGAGGGAATCTTACACTAATCTCCAAACCCGGATAGTGTCAGCTGCTAAAACTCTCGCAGCAGCGACCTTAGAATGTTCAATCTACAAATCCGTGTGTTGCCACACAGCGTGAAATCAATTGTCGGTGCCTTAGTGTTAGCCTGACATTGGCGTTTTGGTTGCAGCTGGTGATTATCCCATCTGCGGATTTCATCGTTATCCACGTTTTGAGCGCACCACCGGGAAAAATGAAAGTTTTCAGGCATGTCGCCTCAATTCAGAAGCACCCTTAAAATGGTGACTGCAAATGTGTCACGAGCAGTTAACCGAGCAATCGTCAGTCCTTACCACTGTCAGCGAGACAACAAAAGAGCACTGGGGGTTCACTTCTGTACATTCATCCCGATTTATGTGAAGAAACATTATAAAGTATCAAAGAGAGGGACCCAGATGTAGCTGGCTGTAGACATCCGAGGTACCCACACCCCCAATACTCAGCCAGGCAATCTGGATAATAACTGACACTATGAACTCCACTTGCATCGGTTAGACGTCACGCCATTCAAAGGCTCCAGCCAAGCACAAAGATGGCCAAATAGAATCCATTTGGGAAGAGAAGCAGCATCAAAAGCACCCAAACTTTTCGTTACATCATTTATTCTCTTCGGTCGTCGAACTCTGTACACCTGCAGGTTTCCGCCGCTCCGCATTACACACGAAAATTCACGCGCCTCCGCAGGTGGTAACTCGGTATACACATGACATGGCTTAACCAACTTATCATGCAATGCCGGATGAGAAAACTTCCGGTGTCTCTATTTGAATTCTCATAAATCTGTTCATAGACGTCTGGTAGCACAGCTTCGCACTTTATGTGCGCCCGCACATGTCAAAAGAGCGGATGGCCCTGAGTGACGAATCGATTAATGCTTGTGCCTCCTGTTTTCTCCTAAAATAGTTAAAAGGCATCATATACATGTTCCGAGTCGACAAGCTTATCATCCAAAGGCCTTCCATATTCCTTCCTTCCTCGGACACCAAGGTCTGGCGAGAAGCTCCTGAAGAACCCCTCTTACATTCCGCCACCGGAAGACATACGAATAGAAATAACGTATAATATTGGCGGAATTCTGAGGCATACATTGCTATACAGGCATGTTGAAAAGAATCGGTCGATCGACAAAGTCGAACGCTCTCCTGAAGCCGAGGAGTGCCGATGTTGTTAAGTGACTGACTGGAATCCTGCTCTCTTTTCGCGATGTCCCTCTCCACACGCCCCGTCATGATGCACAATAAGCGACCAGGGATCAGCAGGAGCACCGCCAATAGCATGACATCACTCTTCAACTCCGATGCTCCGAAGCCGTACAACCATGTTTCATTTGAAAGCTCTATTGTGATGGCGGTACATGCTTTAGACACGGAACATAGAATAGATCTGGAGAATATGGGAGTCTTCAGACGAGACTGCGATTCACAACACAACGGCTGATAGCCGAGGCGGTGGAAATCACTAAGCGTCACAGCGTGAATAGAATCGAGAGTGCGAAGCTAGCCAGCGTATGGAAAGCGGTCTTAGATAAGCCGCGTCGACACGTGACGGTGTGGTTGTCAATACACTTATGATCATTAGAAAAAACCGGGTGGTAAGGGTGGAAACCCCAACCAACCAAAGGTCACAGCATCCCTCCTACACAACTTTCTTAGCACTAGCTCACCCACACAGACGAACAGAAGGTTAAAACGAAGTTCGAGAGGAACCATCAAATGGACCGGACCAGAAGAACTAGACCCTAGATAGGACCCAAACACATGTAGGTTTCCCCACCGACCCAACACTTGTTCAACCACTCTAACACATTAAAATCCCTCGGCCGACACCCAACAGAGGTTTAGCTTGACTTAGCCGATTGGTTCTTCTTCCGCCTTAAACCTCGATCAACCTCGGAACCTAGTCACTTGGCCTGATGAAGCTTTTGTGTCAAAAACGGAACTTTGCCCAGCAATAAATCTACCGATTGTCACCAAACTTTCTCGAAAATAATAGTGCTTATTCTTAACTACTGGGTAGTATACGTTCAGGCGTGATCAATACGCTACAGTCAGAATTAGAACATGACTGGTGGGGTTCGTG